TCCTGACTATTGTCGACACAAGATAAGGGAACTTCTGATTGGCTGAAGGTGTTTAGTTGCTCCTAGTGAGTCAGAGAGTTGTTCCAGAGGATAATGGATTTCATGCTTACCTCAATGGACTTTCTTAAGTGTGGTGTTGTCCTCAGAGAGACTAGTTAGAGAGAGAATAGTATGCCTATTGCAACCTTTTTTGCAGATGTTTTGATAGTCTGGGATGAACTAGCTGACTTTATTGAGAAGCAAATGCTCATGACAAATATACTTTTGTTGCATAGAAAATCTGAACCGATTCCAATCATAGATCAATGGTCTGATTAGTCTTGCCCCGCCCCTCCACAGGTAGCGAAGGGCAGGACGAAACTATGTTCCAATTAAATCTGGAATTTTTTAATTTGTTCAAAAATGGGCCCAAAGTCCCTGTATTATAAGTCAAAAAAGTATGGCTGCAATTGGTTCATGGTTTTATGTGCATGTATATAGCTACTGTATAAAAGCAGTTAAAACAATGCATGTCATGTATAAAAACCAGGAGGCTATAAAGTCTGGCCCCTATATACCACTACTAGGAGATCAGAGTGACTTTCTCCCTTTCCTATTGACTGCAGTCAGTAAAGTCTTCAAGATTATTTCATTTTTAATGACAAACATCTTAACTTTTACTAAACTCAACTAATATAGATACATGCACATCTTCACATAAATGTGGAACCTTAAAAATTAAAATTTTAATTAGAATTTCTACACAACATAATATTTTTTGTACATTCATTATAAAAAAGATGTGCATGTGTTGGTGGCTCATTTAGCCATGCTGAACAGTAGTAGTTGTAGAGCTGGCAATGACAGTTCAAATCGCCATAAATACATGCAGTCAAAATTTAAAAGAATTATTTTTCAAAAAATTAAAACTAGTATATAAATCTCTAGCTTCAGTCTTGAGTATCAATCCACTTGACATTTCATCTTTATTTCAGCTTGAACCTATCAATGATAATATTAAAGTCCTTACACAAACTTACTGTTAGTATTGTTATTTTTCTTCTTGTATGTAGTGCTCTTAGCATCACTAGCAGTAGTAACCACTAGTGATCCCAGGCAGCGCCTCGTGGAGGCGGCACTACACTGCTGCCCAAAAATTAAAATAACCTGGCCCAACACTCTTGCTGAGGCCTAGGTTGTAAAAATAATAATAAATAATAATAATAAATAATAATAAATCATAAAAATAAATAATAATAATAAATAATAATAATAAATAATAATAAATCATAAAAATAAAAAATAAATAAATAATAATAATAAATAATAATAAATCATAAAAATAAAAAATTATAAACGATAATAATAATTTAATAATAATAAATCATAAAACCTAGATCTATAACCTATACATACACTATATAACCTGTATCCTATAACAACCTGTTTCCTAATTTCTATACTATAACTACCTTCTACTTTCTACTA